TTGTTTGCCTTTGCCCCCAGTTGGTAGAATATTAAACCAGAGAGGCAAAGCTTTAAAAATTCCTTTCTTGCTAGCCTGGAGCAGAAAATACGAACACAGGCAATTTTAAGAAATGCATAGAGCAAATTTGGGGACTTCAATTTCCTTAAGCTATCCTTTTTAAATAGTAATAAGGAGAAAATTACATCTTTATTTTCATTGACCTCTAACTACCCATTAGCATTTCCTTCAGGAATCATGTAGGCAGGGAACTTACCTGTGGGTTACAAACAATACAAACTCAGAATTTTTTTTAAAAGATTTTATTTATTTATTTGAGAGAGAGTTACAGATAGAGAGAAGGAGAGGCAGAAAGAGAAGTCTTCCATCCATTGGAAATGGCTGCAATGGCCAGAGCTCAGCCTATGGAGAGCCAGAAGCCAGGAGGTTCTTCCAGGTCTCCCATGTGGGTGCAGGGGCCCAAACACTTGGGCCATCTCCTGCTGCTTTCCCAGGCCATGAGCTGAGAGCTGGATCAGAAAAGGAGCAGCCGGGACTAGAACCATCGCCCATATGGGGTGCTGGCGCCCAGGGAGGAGGCTTAGCCTACTATGCCGTAGCACCAGCCCCACAAACTCAGACTTTTTTTATATCTGTTAATGTTTGGGCAGATATCCATTTGCTTCTCGTTATTTCAACATGAGACCCACTGTTAGATTCTGTTATTTAATGCATAGAGAAACATATATATACACACATGCATGTATATATGCCACATCAGAATTGTGAAAACTCTTTGTAACTGTATGCAACTGCTTTAATTTGTTTTGTGCATTTACATAATTCTGGGAGCCTATGGCCTTCACTGAATTGTCGAAGGGATACAGGACCCAAAAAGAGTTAAGCGGGTTCCTTTCAATCTGCTTTACATAAAAGCTAAGCTGACAATGGCCCTCGTGCCGAAGGTGAGTCATCAAGAGGCGTTCTTGAACGTGGTGCACACGTCACGGGCTCCGGCTCCTCCAGGCTCCTCTTGGGCCTCTCCTCCAGAGGTGCACTGTGGCTGGACAGGTTCCCACGCTGGTTGTGAACAGCACGACGCCCACCTCTCCACACCAAGGGGCTGAGTGTGCAGTGCCCCTGCACCCCCAACAAAGTGGAGAAGGAACGAGTCCCCCCACTCCCCAGGGCTCAGCTGAGACCGAGGCAGGGTTTGGGATGGGAAGACGGGCAGAGTGCGTCACACAGGAAGGACCCCATGTCCCAGGGACGGAGCAGGGTTGGGGGGCAGTATTGGCACAGACAGGATGAGAGCACAGGAAGTTCTCCAGTGCGGTGCCAGCAGGGGGAATGCTAGGAGACCCCCAGGTTCTGGGATCTGGGGACCGCGGGTGGGGAGGGGTCCCAGGGTGGAGGCGGAGTCATGGGTGCCCCTAGGATGCCCGGTGGGATCACAGAACACGAGCTTTGGTGCCTGCCCCCCTGATTTGACTGAATGACAGTCAGGGGAAGGTCAAGGCTAGGACTCATCAGGGACAAAATGGTCCTTTCCTTGGGAAATCAGAGCACAATTTTGTTTTCACTAAATCTCTCCTGGGGCCAGCACCATGGCTCACTTGGCTAATTCTCCGCCTGTGGCGCCGCATCCCATATGGGTGCTGGGTTCTAGTCCCGGTTGCCCCTCTTCCAGTCCAGCTCTCTGCTGTGGCCCGGGAGGCCAGTGGAGGATGGCCCAAGTGCTTGGGTCCTGCACCCCATGGGAGACCAGGAGGAAGCACCCGGCTCTTGGCTTCGGAACAGTGCAGCACCGGCTGTGGAGGCCATTTGGGGGGTGAACCAACGGAAGGAAGACCTTTCTCTCTGTCTATAACTCTGTCAAAAAAAAAAAAAAAAAAAAGACACTTAATGTAATAAAATATTTACAAAAAAAAAATCTCTCCTTAGTATCTGGTCCCCAAAGTACCTACAAATGCCCAAGTTGGGGTGTTGGTTGCCGATGTCAAAGCCAGCGTGAACAGGGGCTGCAGGTTCCACGTTTCCGGAATGCTGGGCAGAACGTTTACAGCCACACAGCTACTGACCTGCGCTGGGCTCGGCAGGAGGATGGCGCGGGCGGCAGGCAGTGCAGGCGACAGGCAAGCCTCCCTCGCCCCTCCAGCTTTCCCGGTGACCTGGGCAGCTCGCACCCGAGACGAGCGACTGCAATGCCAGCGAAGGTGACGAGTCAGTCGCCACGTCTCCACGGACTAATGCCACAATCTGGTGGGGACGCCGCTGGACACAGGGTGCCCCCAGGGGCCGTTTGGGGACTTGGGACCTTCTGTCTGGCTCTGCTGACCACCAGGCCCTGGATTTCTCCGTACTGGAAGTGAGGATCGCCGGGAAGTTTCCTTCATCCCAGCTCGACGCAGCTCGTGTCACTCTGGCTCCCATCCCACAGGCCCCGTGGCCATGGGAGGCTGGGGGACGGCCTCGTGGCCCGCGTGGGAGAACGGCTCTGTGGGGACACAGGGCCCCTGCCAGCTCCCTCCTGCAGCAGGCAGAGGTGGGCCGGGGCAGAGACGGCCCAGCTGGGAAGCAGTGTAACAGGTCCAAGTGTGTCCTTAGATCGGCCTGTCCTGCTCGTAACCGCCGTGAATGTGACCTCATGGAGAAGCAGGGCCTGTGTGGACACAGCCTCGTTAGACGAGGCCATGCGAGGTCTGTGGGGGCCCCAAGGCCACCGGATTGTCAGGGGTGGACACAGATGCACCAGGAACCTGTGTTGTCCCAGGACCCCTGCCTGCCCCCATCACGGACTGTGGCTGTGACAGTCCAGAGTGAAAACCCCTGCCTCTCCTGTTAGCTGTGCTGTTTGGGGACCACAAAGGACCTTGTCCCGAACCACAGAACGGGTGCCGACTTGGCTGGTGGGTGCTGGCGGGGCTGTGGGCGAGGGCCGGCTGGTGGGCCTTGGGCGGGGCTGTGGGCGAGGGCCGGCTGGTGGGTGCTGGCGGGACTGTGGGCGAGGCCCGGCTGGTGGGTGCTGGCGGGGCCAGCACTGACCCAAAGGTACATGGGGTTGAGCGCACACAGCCCTGCTCAGCAGAGAAGGCCCAGCCACCTGGGGGGCTCACGCACTGCTTGTCCCATGTCCCCTGTGTCAGCGCTGCACACGTGCCGGCCCCCGGTCCAGCTGGTTCCCTCTCGGCCTCTGGACTTTGGGTTACAGAGCTTCTCAGGCCTCCAGCTGGGTGTGGTCTCCCCAAGTTGCCCCCACCCAGTGTTCTCGCAGTCCCAGGGCAGGGTCGGCCCAGCAGGCTGCAAGGTGCCCCTGGCAGCTGGGAACGGCTCGGCCCATGACTTGCTGCCGTGGGGCTGGCGCCGTGAGTTGCAGGAGTGTGGGAGTGAGAAACAGGGCCAGTGGCAACACAGTGCACTCGGTGAGCAGTGACCGCGCCACGGCCACTGGTGTTTCAGGAGCCGTCACAGCAGCAAGAACACGGTCACGCTGGCCTCCGGGCGGCCTCGGCGGGAGCCGCGGGTCCGTGCGCCACCTCTTGCTTTTGTTCCGCCTTAAAGTTTGGCTGTGTACAGAAAACACGCACACTGAGCAGGTTAAAATATCCAAATAAAATTTACTGCAACTTCCGTAGAATTTAATTTGTGCTACAAGACACGTTGCATAGGAAACTATGTAAAGCCCTGAGGAAAACATCCATGGTTTAAGGTGCAACTGGTTTGTTTCTTCTTTGAGGGAGGGAGAGAGGGGGTCTCTGGGGAGAGGGTGGAGAAGCGGGACGTCAGGCTGTGTCACGTGTGACGGGGGTCTCTGGGGGTCTGGCCTTTGAGTCTGGGGGTCTTCGGTGCTGGGAGGGTGGCTCCGTGACTGTGGCTCAGCCCTCAACAGGGACTGCATCGACAATACCATGCAATCCACGAGTTTCAAGATCTCAGCTCGTGGGGATGAGATTCAGGGACCCCCCCCCCCAAAGGGTGCCCCGGGAGGGGACAGGGCAGGTCCAAGCACATCTCTGGGGCTCAGCTCCCTCTGGGCACCTGCCAGCCATCAGCCCCACCGCTCGCTGCCTTCAGAGATGCCCCGAGCACAAGACAATGGCGGGGTTCAACACGGCAGGCTCCAGGCTGAGCTACGACCGAGTTGCTGCAAGCTGATTCCCCAAGCTCCTGGTTTTCTGGGGGACGCCCTGCTCGGATCGTCTTTCTGTTGGACAGAATGTGGTTCCTCCTGTGCTGTGTACTTCCGGGGAGAGCTGGGTGCACCGGGAGGGGAAGGCGGCTGGGTCTCAGTGAGATGAGCGGTGGGGATCTGGCACACGGCGGCTGACACGTGGGCACATCAGCACAGGGTACCACCTGGAGCCAACCGGGACATCTGCGGGGGCCTGAAGTGGGCCGGAGGCCACCGGGGCTCGGATTCGGCAGCCACATCCTCCTCCTGTCCCCAGAAGAGGTGACGGACTCTGTGGGAAGTGGATCCCGGCCCCCTGCAGGGGGACAGTGCCCAGGCCACGCAGGGCTGCAGAGGTCCTGCCACTCACAGCAAAGCCCCCCACCCCCACCGCAGCTGCTCTCGACGCCGTTGGCAGCAGCGTGTCAGAGCAGTCACCTGCCCACAAGGGGCCCGGCGCCCACTGCGGCGCACGGAACACCCCCCACCCCCAGTCTGCGATGACCGCGGGTGAGAGTGAGGCCAAGGAGACAGAGCAGGAGCAGGGAGCAGGGCTGGACTTCAGGGAAAACGGGCGTGATTGTGGCCACGGCCTCTCTGCAAGGAGAGGGCGAGAGGGTCCGGTGGGCGCCGGGTGCTGACATCGCCCCAGCGGCCCTTAAATACCTATGTACACCTGGAACTTAATTTAAAAAGGCCTTCGAACAACATAAAAACCAACAGCATCTGCCCCTGTTTTTTTCCAAACCTTTATGCTCCATTAAAAAATTAGATACCACCTTTCTCATATGTTCCCCTCATTCATTAAAAAACGTGATTTTCCAATTCAATGTACACTGAACACACAGAAAGCTATTTGATTGGCAACGACCTGCAGTAGAAAACCCGCCCCTCCCCAGCTCCGTGGTGACTGCACCGGCACCCAGGGCACCCGGGCACCTGGCGGGCGGTGGGCGGGCTTGTGCTCCAGGCATGGGCGGGGAGGGGCGCCGCTCAGATCACCAGGTCCTCGTGGTCTGAGGGGCTGAAGGCGGCCGCCCTCAGGACGTCCAGCGAGTTCACCAGGATCAGAGTCCCCGTGAGGTGCTTCCAGCGCTTGGTGATGGGGTTCTTCATCTTGTCCAGGCCCATGTGCAGCTCCTGGATGACGTCGCGGTAGCTGTCCCCGATCTGGTGGCTCCAGGTGAGCAGGAAGTCGTAGGCGGGTTTCCACATGGCCTGGGGGGGGGGCGGAGTCACGAGAAAGTTAGGGGCCAGCGAGGGGTCCCCTCCTGCTCCCTGCTCCAGCTCCCGCAGGCACCATTTGCGACACTGTTCTTACGCGCCAGGGAGCAGAGACAGTTCCCCGACTCTGCTTCACCCCTCCAACGTCCCAAACAGCTGGGACTGAGCTGGGCCAAAGCCCCGGGCCCTGAACTGAAGCCAGGTCACCTGAGGGTGGCAGGACCCAACTGCGTCAGCCATCACCTGCTGCCTCTCAGGGTGTGCCGGGACTCAAACCCAGGCACCGGATGTGGGCTGCAGGTGTCTCAACCTCTAGGCCGGACGCCACCCCTGTGATACCCCTAGAAGTGAACGAGCCCACTGGGCAGACAGGCGGGGCCGCCCTGGGGAGACCAGCCCACATCCGGGGAAGCACACAGCAGGGCCCCGAGGACGCGCCCCACACCTGGTGCCGGGTCTCGCTCCGGCTCCTGCCTCCGGCTTCCTGCCGACACACAGCCTGGGAGGCAGCAGGTGGTGGCTCACGAGATCCCAGCAGCACTTTGTAGTGGTGCTGTCCCTTTAGAAATGCCCCCGGCTTTGGGTGGGCTCCTGGGAGACACCCAGAGAGAAATGGGTCCTTGGGGCCCCAAAGATGCCCCACTCCCGCGTACGGGTGGCAGCCCAAGGTGGGATCAGCGGGGGCAGGAGGTCTGCTCGTGGCGGCCGCCTTCCCACCCTCGGCGCCAGGGCCCCCAGCCCGTGCCCCCGAGAACGAGGGGCCCTGGGCGCGAGGCACGCGTGTCCCCATTTCGCCTCATCGCGCCCCCCTGCTCACGCCGTGAAGTGGCCCTTCCTTTACTGCTGCCCCGCGCGGTGGGGGAGCCGCGGGCAAGGGGCCCTGCTCACCTCGCTGTCCACCACCCCGTTCCTGTCCCGGTGTGGAGACTCGTACGCGTCCATCTGCTGCTTGGAGACCTTGGCCAGCTTCTCGGCCAGCTCCCGCCAGCGCTGGGCCACCTCGACGGCCGTGGTCAGCAGCACGAAGTCCTGGATGAGTCTGACCACCAGGCCCTGGCAGTCCATCTTCAGTAACGCCTGGGGAGACGGAGGCACAGGTGAGGCAGGTGCAGGCGGGCGTAGCGCCCTGGGGGAGGGCTCTCTACCCCGATGGCTCCCAGGCATGGAAGCCGTGCCTGGGCGCTCCCTGGCACGGCCCAACTCCTGGGGAAGGGAGCATGCGCTGGGCCCTGGGAGCTGAAGGGCGGCCCTGTCTCAGGTTCACGTCTACCCGGAAACTCAGGACGGGACTTGCAGAAGCAACTGGGTAAGGTGAGGCCGTGGTGGACTGGGCACGACAGGAAGAGGAAGTGGGGGCAGAGGTGGAGGGTTGGGGGCCGTGCGCGGGCAGGCGGAGACTGGACCATTCGGCCACAGCCCAGAGAGCATGGGCAGAGGCCGGCCGGCAGAGGCGCCCTCACAGCCAGGGAAGGAGCCCGTGGAGGCACGCGTGGCCTCCGGGACTGCGGGAGAGTCAGTGTCCGCCCTTCACCCCCACATGCATGGCCGTTTGTCTGGGCAGCCCCAGGAAGCGAACAGAGGGCAAACGTGGGGCCAGCCGTCTGCCCTGACTCCACTGGCACGGGGCAAGGCGACGCCGCTGTCCACACCGACAGCACGGCCTGCAGCCACGGGAGCCTGGGAGGATGAGTGGAGCGGACGCAGAGCTGGGGGCTCGGACAGGGGCTGCGGCTGAGACCGAGCCCAGGAAGCATCAAGAAGACACAAGGGCCACGCCGAGGCGGAGGCTGCCCCAAGAAGCCCAGTGGCCACACGAGAGGGGCCCCGGGGCCGGAAACAGGACCTGGGTCCCCGACTCAGCGGGACTGCCAAGACCACCTGCTCTGACTCAAGCCTCTCCCTGCCTGAGCGGGGGAAAGCCACCTGTGCCCAGAGGTGCCCGGCTCAGAACACACGCAGACCTGAGGAATGCAGGCCCCTCCGGAGCCCTGCCCAGACCCCGCCCAGGGCAGCCACGTGGACAGAGGGTGGATGAGAGGCCGAGCGGCCAGTGCCAGCAGGGGCGCTGCTTTGACTCGCTCACGTGGGCTCCACTCGCCCAGCTTCCAGCTCAGCGCCGCGCAGGTTTCTTACAAAGCTGCCTGCGCTGTCCACAGCGGCAGTTCGTGCAATTAAAAAAAAAAAAAAAAAAAACAACAGCAAATCTGGGGAGCTCACCGTCTTAGCAACAGAAGCCTCAAGCTCTGGGCACCTCGTCCCCGTGGCCTCCTGAGTTCTGAGCACCCCCAGGGACGCACAGGTGCGCCAGAAAGCACCCTGCTGATCGTGGCTGGGAGGGGCTCATTTGAGCCAGCCCAGGGCGACCACACTCTGTGGACAAGGGGACAGAGGACGGGATTCTGGCCCAGTGGGCTGCTTGGCTCTGCATGGCGCCCGATGGCAGCCCCTGCCAGCCACACACGACACATGCACAGACCTGAGACACACACTCAGGAAGACCCAGCACAGTACACTTCTGGGTTTTGCTGAACGCCGACCCGGCCTCCGTTCTCGGGGGGGATCCTGGACCAGACACCGCACTGCCCACGCGGCCCAGCCTGCCCCCTCCTCTCCCACAGTCACAGCCAGAGTGGGAGTCGGGGCTGCTCAGAGGGAATCCCCAGGGACTTGTCTGTGTGCAGAGCGGGGGGCGGGCGCTTGGCCGAGAGCAAACGGCACGCCTGCAGGGCCTGGGTGTGGCCTCTGGCTCTGCCTCCCGTTCAGGCTTCCTGCTGCTGCACGCCTGGGAGGCAGCAAGTGAGGGCTCCAGTACTCCAGACCTTGCCACCCACACGGAGAACCCGGATGGAGCCCCCGGCTCCCAGCCTCAGCTTGGTCCGGCTCAGGCTGTAGCAGGCGTCAGTGGATGGGAGGCTTGCCTCTCACATAAATGAGCAAATAAATGTTTAAATAAGGCAAATGCACAGCTGTCTGTTAACTGCCTCCTCCCCTGCAGGATAAGGTAGACTTCCAGGTCCCAGAGAGTCCCCGGGTCCCCCCGCGCTGTCTGCAGCTCTACTGCCCCCTTGGTCCCGTTGGCACATGCCTGTTCCCGTTAGTGCGTGCCTGTCCCGTTTCAGCCCGGCTCTAATCCCTAATGCACCTCCCCCCACCTCCGTTTGGGTGTTCCTGCACCTCCTTACTCCTTCTCAGAGAAAAGTCCCCAAGAGCCCCCACCTGGGGAAGCCACCTCCCGCAGCCATCAGCAAACCTTGATCCCTGCAGGAGCCCCTGGGGACTCCTCCCTGCGGCTCTGAAGCCACCATGGGTGGTCCCTGCCTCCAGGGTCTCCAGCAGCCCCCCCATCCTCCCAGCCACAGGAACAGGCACCGTGGGGCGTAACGACTACGGCACAGCCCGAAAACCACCACGAAGCGTGGAAGGAAAACACCGCTGGTCCTTAAGAGCTGGCTCCTTGGGGTCCCGCCTGCCACCTCCTCTCCCCTCTCAGGAGATGGGGGTCACCCAGGCCACGTCGGGGCACAACTGCGTGATCCCCCCTCCCCCGAAGTCTTCATAGCGCTCTGCACAAATCCACATCAGCACAACCCACTGAGGATTCCTCCCCAAGACCCTCTGGCCACGTCAGAGGATGCACACCCCAAAAACCTGTTCCTGCCCCTTCACAAAACACAAACCCAACCACAAAACCCGAGGGTCCCGGGGCCGGCGCTGTGGCACAGTGGGTTTAAAGCCCAGGCCAGGCCTGCAGCGTCGGCATCCCATACAGGTGCCAGTTGGAGTCCCGCCTGCTCCACTTCCAGTCCAGCTCTCTGCTGTGGCCTGGGAAAGCAGTGGACGCCCACGTCCTTGGGCCCCTGCACCCGCGTGGGAGACCCGGAGGAGGCTCAGCTCGGATCAGCTTCGGATCAGCTCAGCTCCAGCAGTCGCTGCCGTTTGGGGAGTGAATCTGGCTGGAAGATCTGTGTGTGTGTGTGTGTGTGTGTGTGTGTGTCTACCTCTCTATGTAAATCTTTCAAATAAATAAAATAAATCTTTAAAAAAAAAAGGGTCCCAAAGTGAGGAAGGCGGGATTTAGTGTGGTCACCTAGCAACAGTTCCTGTCACTCCTCACTCCAGGGCTCTGAAAGGTGACACCGTAGCCCGTGTAACCAACGGCTTTTATGTCTCTGGAGTGGGCTGACCACTCACAGAGACGCGGGACCAGGGTGGACCTCCCGGCAGACACTGAAAACCCTCCCTCCCCGAGGTGGCATGGCGCACAAAGCCCCCGGGCTGCGTGTCCCACCCGTGGGGGCCGCGTGTCCACGCATCGGGGCACGTGTTGCAGGGGGGAGCGGCCCGCGGGGCTCGGCAGGGTTGAGGCCCCAGCAGACAGAGCGGGCGCTGCTCTCGCAAGGGCAGCTTGCTGAGGGCGAGTTCTCACTCCGGGGGCCGGGGTGAGGGGCTCGCAGTGGGGTGCGGGGGTGCGGGGGTGTTCAGCTCGGCCCGGGAGGCCAGGAGGCCAGGGGCCGGAGCCAGCTGCAGTGCCGACCCCGGACAGCCTGCTCTGAAGTCAGAAGTGGGGTGATGGCGAAGGGGCTCCCCGCACCAGCTCGCCAGGCGTGCCCAGCACAGCAGCCCTGCTCGGGAGGAAGAGCCCGCGGTGCCGAGTGAGAGGGGATCCGGGTGAGCGGGTCAGGCCTCCTCCCACCTCCGGCCGCTGGCTCCTGCAGGAACTACACTGGAGGGGGCCTGACTTCGCCTCACAGCGGCTCAGAGACTGGGGGGGGGGTCAAGGGGTGGGACACACAAGTTGGGTCAACCTGGGTGCAAAGCCCACCAACCTCCCCCATCACTGAGCCCCCACAACTCCCACTGAATAAAACACAAGCATCAGCCCCCACCCGCAGTCCCAGGCAGCCCCTCCCCCGGCCCCCGACCCCCGGGCTCAGGCCTTGCTACCGTTCAGGCACCTGTCACTTATGCACGGAGGACCCGAGGGTCCCTCCTCGTGGGGAGCACACAGCCACTGTGAGGATGATCCCACGGGACGAGGCGGTGGGCGCCCGGGGCACGGGGCGGCCCTGGGAGGAGAGGCCAGCACCGGGAGGGCTGGGGGCAGAGGCTGCTGGGGGGGGGGGCTGGGAAGGGAGGGCGTCCAGGGCCCGAGGGGCAGGGGAAGAGGCGCCACCTCTGGTCGGATTTCTTCCCGACTCCCCACAGACCCACCACCCAAATCTTCACCCTTTCCAGTTCACCTGAACCCAGGGGCCCAGACAACCCACAGAAGGCGATCCTGAAAGCGGGCCTGTGGAGCTGCCTGGCCGGACGCGACTGGACGTGAGTGGACACAGCCGGGCAGAGGGAGTGCGGGCTGGGCTGGAGGAGACGCCACCTCCCTCAAGTGCAAAGCTGCAGGGAGCAGACACCTGTCTCCAGTGCCCCTCCACACTCTGCCGGGTCAGGGCAGTGTGCCCGCCGGAGGCCTGGCAACCCCCAATCCACCTGCTGACAACTCAGAGACTCACATCGGGGAGGGGGACATCGATGCCCAGGAACCTGGCCTTGCCTCCGGGCGAAGCTGCAGCCCAGGCGGGCTTCACTTCCTGCCCCTGGCCCCCACCCTCTGCACACCAGCTCCCTCCCTCCCGAGCATCACCAAGCTGACCCAAAGGGGTGGGCACCGAGGTCTTCGGGGGAAGCGCTCAAAATCAGGAGGGTGGCAGTGCAGAGGCCGGCGGCCCAGCACTCTGTCACTGCCGGTTGGCACCGGTCAGTACCGGTCAGCACCGGCCCCGGGCTCTTTGGTTTTTCACCTCTGCCCATGCAAGTGACAGCGCTCAGCTACAGGGAGGGCACGGCCCATGCCCCGCCCCCCCCGAGGGAGGGCACAGCCCACGGGGGCTCTCCCTGGAGGGAGGGCACGGCCCACGGGGGCTCTCTCTGGAGGGAGGGCATGGCCCACGGGGGCTCTCCCTGGAGGAGGTACGGCTTTGGCCCCCAGAGCTCATCCAGCCCTGGAGGCGACCAGGCCACGTGGTCTGTGCCAAGATTCTGGAAACTTCTCTCACAGGTGGGCCAGGAGGTGGTGACAGTGGACGGAGGTCAGGAGTCATCTCTGGAGCTGGACCAAGCCTAGGAAGGCCCCTCTGGCGCCCTGTGGCTCCCCCTCCACCAGAGACCCCCGGGGACACCAGGGGCAGCACCACGTGGACAAGGCTGCCTTTCTAACCTCCACATCCGTTCCACGTCCCCCGCCCCGCCAGGGAAATCCAAGGTTCTTGTCCGCCACTTCACTGTCGTCGCCGTCACAGGAAGCATCTCTCCACGCCCACCCCACACACACTCTGCAAACTGGGCGCCGAGCGCGTGCAGGGTGCAAACCCCAACTGCACACCTGGGTCCCCCCACAGACACACCTGGCTCCTGTGTGCCGAGATGCGTGGGCACAGAGCAGCAGGTACTGGGCAGGGGAGCGGGCAGAGAGGCATGGGGGCACCCGGGGCATCTCACAAGAGGCTGTGTAGAGTCAGCGGAATGCAAAGGGACACACCTGCGCCTGAGACCCCACCTACGACTGAGACCCCCACCTGTACCTGAGACCCCACCTGTACCTGAGACCCCCCACCTGTGCCTGAGACCCCCCACCTGTACCTGAGACCCCACCTGTGCCTGAGACCCCCCACCTGTGCCTGAGACCCCACCTGTGCCTGAGACCCCACCTGTGCCTGAGACCCCACCTGCGCCTGAGACCCCCACCTGTACCTGAGACCCCCCACCTGTACCTGAGACCCCACCTGTGCCTGAGACCCCCCACCTGTACCTGAGACCCCCACCTGTGCCTGAGACCCCACCTGTGCCTGAGACCCCCACCTGTACCTGAGACCCCACCTGTACCTGAGACCCCCCACCTGTGCCTGAGACCCCACCTATGCCTGAGACCCCCCACCTGTGCCTGAGACCCCACCTGTACCTGAGACCCCCACCTGTGCCTGAGACCCCCCACCTGTACCTGAGACCCCCC